TGGTTCTTATCCATGACATCCATGTATATAACCATAGACATTTAATTAGAAAAGATCCTTATTCATTTTGTTAAAACGCCCAATGTTAAAGTCATATGGGATGGTGACAGGCTTTTGTTATATAGGAAAAAAGAACAAGAATGAGGCCAGGTAGTGGTATAATGGTCACACAACTGGTCCCACATGAGAAAGGTCTTGGGTTAGTGACCCTGGACCTTCCTGAGCGTACCAGGCATGCACTTGTCATATGAGCTAGCTGAGACTAGGAGTGGCTCATGATGTGAAGGCCTGTTTGGGTTGCTTGCTCTCTCTGTTCCTCTCATGAAACAAAGTAACTTAAGAAAGAAAGAACAAAAAAATGGAATTAGGTTTAGAAAATGCAACAGCAGGGACTGGCAGGTGGCCTGGTGATTAAGGCACTATACTCCCACATGACTGACTGTGGTTCAAGTCCTGGACCTGGGACTTGAACTGTGATTGAAAGCAAGTCCTGGCTTACTTTCTCACTCTCTCCCCTCCCCTCTCTGTCTCTCGCTAGTCAAACTGAAGAATAATAATACATAAATTAAGTAAATAATTCCTTTTTTTTTAGAAAAGCAACAGCAGGTAATGTCTTTGATATTTTCTGTAAAGAGTAACAGTGTTAGTGTGTTTGTGTTCGAGTCTTGGTTCACATTGAAAGTAGCCTCAAATACTAGTATTTCTCAAGGAACATTGAGTACCTAAACTAAGGTAATTTTGAATTTTATAGCACACTATGTTTTTGTCATCACTCTACCTGTCATTCTTTTAAAATCTTTTAAAAATATACTGATTGAGCTAACCACCAGGAAGTGAGAGTTAGTTGCTACAGTAGCACCCAGCAGAGAAAAAGACTTCTTTCATAATATTGCTTAAAAGGTTCCTTGTGTTTTTGTGCTAGGCCTCTTCTTCTGGTGGCTGTTCCCCCAGTGCGGTGACCAGCAAGTCCTGCACTGGCAGAGTAGATGAACCGTGTCAGCATTTCTTAGCTGGCACGAGGCTGATTGTCTTCCTTTTACCTGTCAGATCATTGCTACAAACGTTTTTATTTCTTTCAATTACAGTTAGGTTTCACAATTCAGTCTTTTGACCTAGTGCCTTTCTACCTTTTTTTTTTTTTTTAAGAAATACTTATTTAATTTTTATTTATTCATTCATTTAATTTGACCAGAGAGAGACTGAGAAAGTGAGAAAGCAAGCCACTAGGTCCAGGACTTGAACCGTGGTTGGCCATGTGGGAGTGTCCCAGCACCTTAACCATCACACCACCTGCTGGCCCCTTTTCTATTTTCTTTATTTGTTCTTCCTATTGGCATTACTTGTTCTGTTTCAAGGTTAGCATCTATAAAAATTAGTTTCAATTGTTCTTTTTACTTTTTTTTTTTTTCTGCTTTTAGAGAGATTTTTGCTATAGGGCATGTGTTTGGCATGTCTTCAAACTGTTGGGGCTGGGATTCAGACCTCTGGATGATGCTATGTGGGACCCAGCTCCCAATGCACAGTGCTTAACCCCTATAATATGGGCCAGGCTTCACCTGTTCTTTTTTTTTTTTTTTTTTTTTGCCATAGGGTGCGTGTGCTCGCTAGACAGAGACAGAGAGACAGAAAGCGAGAAATCACCCCCCAGGGGGATGGCCACACCACAATCCCTTCTCCTCCATTTTCCTCTCTGGATCTTGGGCATGTACACACACACACCCGGCGTGAGTTTTAAGCCACCGGGTCCAGGACGCGAACTGCGGTCGACTACATGGGAGTCCAGCGACATAGCCATTACACTAACTGCTGGTTCCACCTGTTCTTTTGATAAACAGAATAGAAAGGGCCAACATGCTGTATCTTTGTGGGAAATTCAGGACTGTGTTTTTGCTTGTTTGCCTTTTAGGATCCTTCATCTCTCCAGAGATGCCTATGCTCTCAGCTTCTAATTGGCATTAGGCCATAAATTATTGTTTTTTAATATGTGTAAAAGAGCAACTAAACTTTGAACCTATCACAAAACAAATGTACCTCTGTACTTCTAAAGAAATTGCTCCAAACATTTTGCCTTTTATTTTTTTGGCTCTAATATGATCTAGTCTGCCAGAGTCTGTTCTAAAGTTAGACCATATGTATTCAAGTTGGGGCATGCCATTCCACTTCCTGTCAAGCTGCCAGATTTTTATGTGATAAAATGCTGCCATGTCATCATCAGCCCTCTTCTTGACCACTGAGAGAAACTTCCACAGGGCCACCCAGAAATGAGTGCCTTGCCAACCCCTATTGAAAGCTGGGTGCTAAACTTAATGGCACTAGGAAGGTGCTTGAGTGAACTATGACTTGACTTCCATACTAATGTTTAAGCGTCTTTATTTAGAGAATGGTAACTTAAAAGGAAAAGATGTACTTGTTTTGCCACTTGACCTCATGGACAGAAGTTCCCATGAAGCAGCCACCAAAGCTGTTCTCCAGGAATTTGGCAGGGTAAGTAGCTTCTAATATTGAGACAGTCTTGCTTTGAAGTAACTGCAAATGAGATTCCTATCTGTGGTACTGTCATTCACAGGGCTTTAGGCTGATGGAGTCCATGCAGTGAAATCAGTCCCAGGAGTTGGGCCTCTTAATTTCTGAGTCTTTATGTAATTTGTATTTTTAATATTATTTTTCTTAAGAGAGATTTTTGCTATAGGGCTCATGTGCTTGATGGAGAGACAGAGAGAGAGAGAGAGACAGCAAAAAATCACCTCCCGGGGGCATGGTCATGCTGCACTCCCTTTTCCTCCTCTTGGGATTTTGGGCATGCATGCACACGTGCCCAGCGTGAGTTTTAACCTGCTGGGTCCAGGACTTGAACCATGGTTGTCTACATGGGAGCCCAGCAATGTAACCAGTACTCCATTGGGTAGTCTCTGTAATTTGTATTTTTTAATGCCTTCACACATTCTAATTTCTCTCCACTGAGAACAAAAGAAGTTAAAAACTCACTGCTACTTTTATTATGACACTCCCTTTCATAAAAAATCACTTAAAATGAGTATTTAATTCCATAAGTGAATTCTGGCTTTTATTTTATCTCTTTATTGCTGACTTCTGGAAATACACCAGTATTCTATTGATTCTTTTAATCGTTCTTTTTTTTTTAATCGTTCTTTTTTTTTTTTTTTTTTGGAGAGATTTTCACTGTAGGGCGCGTGCGCTCGCCAGACAGACAGAGAGAGACATAGAGACAGAAAGCGAGAAATCGCCCCCCAGGGGGGATGGTCACGCCGCAATCCCTTCTCCTCCATTCTCCTCTCGGGATCTTGGGCACGCACGCACACGCGCCCGGCGTGAGTTTTAAGCCACCGGGTCCGGGACACAAACCGCGGTCGACTACGTGGGAGTCCAGCGACATTGCTATTATGCTAACTGCTGGTTCCCAGTATTCTGTTGATTCTTCAAGTTAACAATATAACCATCCATCCCTAGGAATTTCATCAACCCATCTATAAGAAATCCCCTGATTTTATTTCTGATTGTATTTAACTAGATCGACGTTCTGGTCAACAATGGTGGAATTAGCCAGCGTTCTTTGTGTGTGGAGACCAGCCTGGATGTCTACAAGGAGCTAATGGAGCTTAACTACTTAGGGACAGTGTCCTTGACAAAGTGTGTCCTGCCTCACATGATCGAGAGGAAGCAAGGAAAGATTGTTACTGTGAATAGCCTCCAGGGCATCTTATCTGCACCCCTTTCCACTGGATATTGTGCCAGCAAACATGCTCTTCGGGTAAGGCTGCTTAAACTCCACTCTGATGGAAGCGACCTCAATATCCATAAAGTGGATACAGCCATCACCTTGCCAGGTCACTAGAACTAGGCAGTGATGTGGGGGGAGACAGAGAGAAACCCACAGAGACCTTTGACAGAGACCATCTCCTGTTAACTGCTAAGAAAGACTTGAGTCCGAGCCAGCCGGTGATATGGTAGTTAAGGCGGCTGGACTCCACATGGCCAACTGCAAGTCGTGGAGATGGAAAGAGAGAGAGAGAGAGAGGGAAAGTGAGAAATCACTTCCCCAGGGAGATGACCACAACACAATCCTTTCTTCTCTATTCTTTTGAGATTTGGGGCACACACATGCCCAGTGTTTTGTTTTGTTTTGTTTTGTTTTGTTTTTTCAAACTGGGTTCAGGACTTGAGCCAGGCTGTTAGCCATGTGGAATCTAGCCTCTCTAGCCACTACGCCACGCAGGCTGGCTCAATAGCATTTTAGGTTTGTGTGAGAAATAAAAGAGAAACCCAACCTCAGTGATTCTCTGTGGAGAACATGCACTCCTGTTGGAGTAGGGAGGTGAGGATTGGAGTAAGGAGTGTGTATCAGAATCTCAGCAGGTGGTTTCTCTTGGATCCAGTGGTTGCTCATCATAAAAATCATTGCTGGCATGAGCTGCCACTGACCAAGGGGGTGAACCACTTGTACCTGGAAGGAGCTGAGAAGGTCTATTTGAGATTGTCCCAGTCTTAATTAAAAATACCAAATAAGCTCGCAGGATTGTACTACCTGTCTCTTACTCAGGCATTTCAGAACATATTTTGATAAATGATGAGATGTGTATCTGTATCTAATTAATTTTCTTCGCCTTTCTTTTTTCTGGCTGGCTAGGGTTTTTTTAATGGCCTCCGGACAGAACTTGCCGCATACCCAGGTATAGTAGTTTCTAACATTCACCCTGGACCTGTGCAATCAAATATTGTGAAGAATGCCCTAACTGAAGAAGTCACAAAGGTAAAACTCTAGTTGGAGAATAATTTGAATGCTTTGCAAGTTCTATACTGGTGTCGTGTCACTATGTAGCAGGATTTTTGTGTTGGAACTACTTATCAGTTATTCACACAATTTAACTTATGGTATTTTGAAGACTGGTAAAGGTAGCTGACAGTACTTTGGAATCTGGCTTTAATAGGGCTAAGAAATTAGCCTGGGTACTCTATTATGTACCCACTATCATCAGATTTTTTTTCACTATCAAAGAACCCCATTTATCTCATCCCCCACACACTCCATATTTTATGAGACTTCATTTGCTTAAAGCATGGCTTAATGATTTGATATTTGATATTTATTACAATCTTACTAAGGCAATAATCTATAAGCACATTGTATCATAAGGCGACACAATTTTAATGAAAAGCAAAGAACGTTTATCCTGTACAATCTTACCTGTTAAGTGTGTGAGTTCTGTTAGGCTTTTGGAAATATTACACATAATTTTAAAAACCTCATTAGTATGTAGGGGGTCTCCTAATGGGCTTGAGGACCCACTAAAGGAACCATTCAGTAGATGGTCTTGGGATCTTTTCAAGCTTAAAAGTTTAATGAAATAGCTTGGATGAATACTTAGCAGTCAATTTTTAATTCTTTGTTCTTGGTTTTTCACTTAATTTTTACATTTTCATAGACTGTAGGCTCTAACGGAGACCAGTCCCATAAGATGCCAACCAGTCGTTGTGTGCGGCTGATGTTAATTGGCATGGCCAACGACTTGAAAGAGGTCTGGATTTCGGATCAGCCTTTATTGTCAGTGACCTATTTGTGGCAATATATGCCTACCTGGGCCTGGTGGATAACTGGCAAGTTAGGAAAGAAAAGGATCGAGAACTTTAAGAGTGGTGTGGTAAGACCAATTTATATCTTTCTTAAGTATCCATCGTATAAGAAAGTAGAAAATTTTCCAATGCTTAAAAAAGTTTATTAACTCTCCACCAATCTTACTATATAAATACCAAAAAAAGTATCCTATCCATACACGTATCTGTTGGTTTACTATACATCATAAACAGCCTTACAGAAGTTTCCTACAAGGTAAAGTCAAAGAAAGATTGCTACATTTGTCTATATTTATTGTTCAACCAATGTATGTGTCAAAATGTTCTCCCCGGCCCAACTGTTGCCTGTCTTGCCAGTCTCAGCTCAGGTGCACTTCTCTTTTTTTTTGGAGAGGTTTTTGCTATAGGGCATGTGCGCTCGCCAGACAGAGACAGAGAGACAGAAAGCGAGAAATCACCCCCCAGGGGGGATGGCCATGCCGCAATCCCTTCTCCTCCGTTCTCCTCTCGGGATCTTGGGCACACACACATACGTGCCTGGCGTGAGTTTAAGCCACCGGGCCTGGGATGCGAACTGTGGTTGACTACATGGGAGTCCAGTGACATAGCCATTACGCTAACTGCTGGTCCCAGCTCAGGTGCACTTCTTAGAGTAACCCCTGGGCTCCCCTCCCAGTTCGTTCCAGGCCTAGGTGTGCCTCAACCTCTGTGCGTTCCCTGTCAAAGCACTAACTGCATCAGCAAAACAGATGCACGCATACTGCATAGTACACGTCCTTCCTTTCACCCCATTCCTGAAGCAGTCTGCCTGTCTAAGGGCATTTGCTGGTTGCTCCTTGTTTCAACACTCGTTCTTACAGCATTTAGTGGGACATGTGAACTATTTCAATGAAAAAGGTCTTCTTTCTTTTTTAAAAAGATTTGCTAAAGGTTGCATGAGCTCGCCAGAGAGAGACAGAGAGTGAGTGGGAAAGTAAGAAAGCATCACTTAGGGGGGATAGTCATGCCAAAATTTCTTCTCTTCCATTTTGGGGTTTGGGGCACATATACAGATGTGCCCAGTATGTTTTTTAAGCCATCATGTCTGGGACTTAAATTGTACAGTCGGCGATGTGGGATCCAGCTCTCTTAATCACCATGCCGCTGGCTGGCCCTTGAAGAAAATTGTGTTCATAAAACAGGTTAATGTATAAATAGCACAGAAACTATAGTTTATGATGACATAGAGAAAGATTTTTGCTGTGGACTGTTTTTACTATGAATATTTCATATACAAGAGGACTTCCACAAGTTTGTGGAAAAATGGAATTAAAGCACATGTGTGTTTTGGTGGAATAAATTTAGAAATCCAGGAGTAATTATTTTATATTTATTTTCCATGTGTATTTTGAATATTAAAGATTTCCCCCTTCCCCCCATCATTTTTACTACCTTCTTTTCAGTATCAGTCAGTAGTCCCAACCTGGTTATACTGGTTGTAGGGTGCCACCGCATGATACTGGGGCCATATGGGAATGCATGGGGTTCAGATCCTGGGTCCACCGGAACATGCTGGACATGTCCTCGGGCACACCCATGATCTCGGCTGGCTGGAAAGTTTGGAGAAGGATTATAATATGGTAAGACCCTGTCAGGGTACAGGGGTCCCTGACTCTCACTCATTAAATAGACTTTAAAAAAAGAAATCAGTCAATAGAGATTTATATATAAAAAAGAAAATTGTAGGGACCAGCAGTTGACGTAATGGCTATGTCGCTGGACTCCCACATAGTTGACCGTGGTTCGCGTCCTGGACCCGGTGACTTAAACTCACGCCGGGCACGTGTGTGTGCGTGCGTGCGTGCGTGTGTGCCCAAGATCCCAAGAAGAGAATGGAGGAGAAGGGATTGCGGCGTGGCCATCCCCCCTGGGGGGTGATTTCTCACTTTCTGTCTCTGTGTCTCTCTCTGTCTGGCGAGCGCACGCGCCCTATAGCAAAAACCTCTGCAAAAAAAAACCAGGGCTATATAGAGGGAGTTACTGATTCATGTTACTGTCATTCTTTTCCAGGATGCAGACTCTTCTTATTTTAACATCTTCAAGAAAAAGCATGACTGAAAGGAGCACTTGCAGTTTTCAAGCCCCTGGAGTGAGAAATGTCGAACTTGAAAATAGCAATCTTATGTATTGAAGATTAATTGAAAACTAATTTGTGATTTTACTTTTTGACAGATACAACTTTCCTTTTAACATAGAATGAATAAAAAAGTGAAAGACTGCCATGAATCTTGTAAAGAAAGATATCCCCGGGGTCTGCACCAGTGTATTCAACTAACTGCAGATAGAAGAAAATACGTAGTTTGGCTTACAATGGCTGGATTTTTACCGAATATGAAAAGACATTTTTTCTTGTCATTATTCACTAAACAATATAGTAAGCAACTATATATTTACCATTTACATTGCATTAAGTATTCTAAGTAATCCAGACATGATTTAAACTTTATGGGAGGATATGTATAGATTACACGCAAATTTTACACCGTTTTATATAATGGATTTGAGCATCTGGATTTTATCTGTGGGGGTTCTACCACCAATTCCCTATGGACATGAAGAAGTGAGTGTATTAATACATACTATATTCGTGGATAAAAGAACATTTTCAAATACTTTAGTATGTATGCTTAATATCTAGGTCAACGGAAATCCATCCAAAGAAGTATAGTAAACCACTCAATGTGTCTTAGTCCATTTGTGGTGCTATAACAAAATACCATAGACTTAGTAATTTATAAATAGGCATTTCTCATGGCACCAGAGGCTGGAAAGTCCAATCAAGACCCTGGCAGTGTTGGTGTCTGCTGAGGGCGGCTCTCTGCTTCCAAGATCGGGTCTTGTTGCTGCATCTTTCAAAGGGGAAGAATACTGTGTCCTTACATATAGCAGAAGGGACGGAAGGGCAAAAAAGGGGCAGACTTCCTCCAGTAAGCCCTGTTATAAAGGCATTTAATCCTATTCATGACAATCCCTTCCTGAAGGCCATACCTCTTAATACTGTTGGATTGGGGATTGAGTTGCAACGTACATTTGAGAAGGAACAAAACACATTCAAACCACAGCAGCATATAATGTGTGGGATATTCACACCAACCAGAGTGCGTGGGAATTGACAGACACAAAGAAACATTTGAAATGATCTGACCTCCAAGATGCTTACACTCTTTGAGAAGAGTGAACAGGTACTAATAACTAACTTGAAGCAGGAGGTAGGACTCAAAGCAGCCATTATTTACCAAACACTCATTACATGCCATTTGTTTTGCTCGGGTGCTAGTATTAGTTCATTCATTTATTCCTCATAATGGCCCATGAAGGTGGGTGGTATTACCTACCTTTATAGGTGACAAAAAAGATCCCTAAGAAACCAGTTGTTACTTGCCCAAGGTCACAGAACTAGTAAGAGATAATGCCAGGACTAAGCTTAGGAAGACTCCACTGATAACTCCCTGCTTTTAGGATTAATTTTACTTTAATGTTTAGCATCTTACAGGAGAAAACATGCATAGACCATACTAGAAAATAAACAGGAGTAACGGAAGAAAAACATGGTCATTATGAGCAGTTCAGTTTAGCTGGAGTCACAGTAACCCACATTAAATGACTGTAGATTAGTTGGCGGGCAGGTTGGAGGCCACCTAGTGGTATCCCTGGGAAAGGCAGAAGGTGACGTGGTGGAGCCATACTGTGGGGTCCAGCCGTAGAAGCAATGGAATGAATGCACACAAAGCATTCATTATCTAGGGCTGTATCCTAGAAGCATGGTATAGTGAGGAAACTAAAAATAAGCTATAACACAATAGTGTTCCCATTCACTGAAACTTATATGCATAGAAGATAGTGTTTATTTTGTAAGAAAATATCAAAAAGATACACAGTAACCTATTAAATAGTATTATAATGATTACTTAGGATGAATAGGGGTACAATATACAGAGAAAAGATAATGAACAGATGGCATAGTGGTTAGGTTGCTGGACTCCCACATGACTGCCCACAGTTTGAGTCCTGGACCTGGTGCTTGAAAATTATGCCTGGCACATGTGCATGCAGGCCCAAGGTCCTGGGAGGAGAATGAGGGGAAGGGATTGCAGTGTGGCCATCCTCCTTGGGGGTGGTTTCTAACTTTCCCTCTCACTGTTCCCTTCCCCACCCCCACCCCCCATGAGTGCATGCACCCTAAGGCAAAAACCTTTAAAAAAAAAAAAGATAATGAGTAAGGGAGCAAGCAGGTGGAGTGGTGGTTAGGGGGCTGGACTCCCCCAGGGCTGACCATGGTTTGAATCCTGGACCTGGCAGCTTTTGAGTTTTCCCTTTGCCTCTCCCTCTTTCTGTCTCTGGTGAGCACATGGGCCCTATAGCAAACATTTTAAGATAATAAATAGTCCTCTAAAAATAATTATTTAAAATGATAACGAGCAAGAGAGGGCCCTTGCATGACCAGTGCTGGAAATGGGAATTACGATTTACTGAATTCATCACACCTGAGGTAAAAAAAAATAAAAGAATGTTACAAAACAATACAGAAATCATGTGGCACGGTGGAGTGCAGTAGGGGTTTGTAAAAGAGATCCGCAGACAGGAGAATAGTGTGGAAGCCCTTCGTAGAGTGGGTGTGATTTGCACTGAGACTTGAAAAAAAGGGATTTGGATAAAGGGAAGCTTTAGGGGGTCAGGGTCTGAGTCGGTTTATTTTATTCATCATTGACTCCCCAGTGTCTGCCTGGCACTGTCCTGCCTGTGTTTAGGGTTTGTTGACAGAGTTCTGTCTGAAGAACAGCCTCTACTATTTTCTTTAATGAAAACCTGCTGTTGAATTTACTGTTTTAAAGCATCTCTACCTTAAAGAACTGTTTTAGAGGAAAGGCTGGGAATAGAATTAAAAGTTTGAGTTCTTTTCTTTTTTTATAATTATTTTATTTGACTTTATTTATTAATTTAATTTGACCAGAGAGGGACAGAGAGAGAGAGGAGAGAGAGGGAAACTGAGAAAGCAAGCTACCAGGTCCCAGACTCAAATCACGGTCAGCCATGTGGGAGTCCAGCACCCTTAACCATCATGCCACCTGCTGGCCCCATCTTTTTTTTTTAAAGAGAGATTTTTACTATAGGGTGCATGCACTTCCTGGGGAGAGAGAGAGAGAGAGAGAGACAAAGAGACATGGAAAGTGAGAAATCACATCACATTTACCCCCCAGGGGGATGGCCATGTCACAATCCCTTCGCCTCCATTCTCTTGTGATTTTGGGCACGTATGCACACGCACCTGGTGTGAGTTTAAGCTGCCGGGCCCAAGACTCAAACCATGGTAGACTATGCAGAAGTCTAGTGATGTAACCATTACACCATCTGCTTGTCCCAGTTTACAGTTATTTTTTTTTTTCAGTTATTGAATTCTGTGAATTTTTGGTTGCCATATTTCTGTTAACTGCCAGTTTAATCACTACTCCTTTAAAAGTAATGTCTTCTTTCTATGCCTTTCTGGTTACTTTTCTAACTTCCTTTTTGATATTTCTATATGATATATTAAAAAGTGAAGTTACTGAATTTTAAGAAATTCCAAAATTTAAAGGTCAGGCACAAGAAGAAAACCAGCAAAGGTATTTGAGGAGGATCCAGGTAGACAGGAAAAAAAGCAAAGATAATGTGGCATCAGGAAAGCCCAAGAAAAACAAAAGGTGAGGGCCGACCCATGGCCTGGAGGTTACATGAGCTGGGTCTCACATGGCTGGCTGTGCGATTTGAGTCCTGGACCTGGAGGCTTAACAAAAAACACCAGGCACATGTGTATGTATGCCCAAAATCCTAAGAGGAAGAAATGGAAGAGAAGGGATTGCGGAGTAACGGAGTAACCATTCCTCACACGGGGATGCCTTCTGTCTTCCTCTGTCTCTCTGGCAAATGTGCATGCCTTCTGGCAAATTCAAAACAAAACAGGTGATTAAAGAAGAATTGATCAAATATGCCAAATGCTACTTAGAGGACAAGATGAGGACATAAAAGTGACCTCTTGGTTTGACAACTTGGAGATTAATAGTGACCTTAATAAAAAACTTTTTTTTTTTAATTTGGGGGAATAGAGATGGAATTCAGACTGTAATGATATGATGCTAACTGAATCAAAGAGTAAACCTGACCATGAATGAAATGAAGGGATATGGGAGCAGCTTTAGGGAGATACCAGACTGAGAGAAAGCATGCTTGGCATTATTATAATAGTAACAACCTTTAGACTGAAAATTCCCATTATTACCAGGTTGAGAGAAAGCATGCTTGGCATTATTATAATAGTAACAACCCTGAGACTTAAAATTCCCATTATTTGGAAGATAGTCCAATAAATTATATCTACCAATAGAATGTTATGTAGTCATTAAAATTAATAATTATGGGGTCAGCAGGTGGCATGGTGGTTAAGGTGCTGGACTCCCACATGGCTGACAGCAGTTTGAGTACTGGACATGAGGGCTTGCTTTCTCACTTTTTCTTTCTGTCTCTTTCGGTGAGCACATGTGCCCTATAGCAAATTTAAAAATAATAGTAAATAAGAGCATTCTTTAACAAACTAATAATTACAAAGTGCTTTTAATGACATAAGAAAAATTTTCTACATAACAAAAAAGGTATTTTGTGTAAGAATTATCTTTTACAATGCTATGTGAACTGTTGCACATACTAAATAAATGAAATAATGATAATAAAAGCATAACTGATTGTTTAAAATAATTTCAGTAATTTCTAGAGAATGCAATGGGCTAAGTCCATCTTCAGAAACAGTAAATTCACCTGAAAGGAAATGAGTAGTATCAGACCTGTGGAATGGCCTCTAGCTTCATACTCATAGGACCCCCTAACATGGCTTTCTGCAAGTTTCCACATGATAAAGAGGGCGAACCCTGTTCCTTTCATATAGACTAATATCAAAAGGATATTTGAAAAGAAGGAAACATACTTTACTGGAAGAGATTTTATTAAAAGATTTTAAGGTTTCTGAATTAAAGTATACTAAAAGAAAATGAACACATTATATGGAAACATTCAGATAGTGCTAAATGTTAAGACAACATAACATTCAAAAATTTAAAAATTAATTATATTTCAAATATATATATATATACACACACACACACATTATCTAACCTTCTATAGGATCCGTTATCATTACTTTAAAACACTGATATATTTATCTTTTAAGTATGTAAAAATTATAGAGCTGTTGACTTTTGTAAGGCAACTCATATATCACGTATTTTAAAAAGTTTAAAAAATTTTATTATCTAATCTTATACAAATGTTTCATTGTATTTACCAAAGTCTCCTACAATCCATAGGGCACAAATATTGGCCAATTGGTTTTAACTTTTATGTTGGACATAAATTGTTTTTTAAACTATCGAGATGTAAAAGGATAAGGATCAACTTTATGGAGTTTTAGCTTTTCTCAGGCATCTGATTTGAGGTGGAGAAAAGTCCAATTAACTTGGAGGAATCACACTGTAACTTTTCTAGGACAGGAAAATAAAAACACCTCACTTGATGACATTAATGGACTCTAATACAAATGAATATGGAGAGGTTTCGAAGAATAAATCGGATATCCCAGAGGAGGGTCAGCTGCTTGTACCGTCAGGTTCCTTAGAAGGAGGGGATGGGCTTGTATACTGTAACGTTCTTCATCGTCATTCGTGGCATACAGTAATTCCCAGGACAGATTGGCCCACTGGCCTCTAACAGCTTCAGCATTTAACTTCCCAACTTGGATCAGTAAGTCTTGAAGGGTAAGTACTCTCCCAGTGTAAACTCCCTTTACAGCATAACAGAGGAGGAAGAGGAGAAAATGAAGACATTACTTTCACAGGCCTTTTTATTTTATTTATCAACAGAGAAAAAAAACCTCCCTACGGTTAGGCAAATTTTCTCCCAAGATCAAAAAACAGAAAATGGTGTTTTAAAATGTACAAACGAGTAGTTTGTCTCCAGATCAAGAATCACTTCTATTTCCTTAGCTCTTTGAATAAGCAGAAGAATTTCCTACCAGCCATTTCACTTAATCACCAGGACAACAAAATCTCAACTCTTTGTCTTTCTTTTCTTTTGATCTCTCCCCTCATCTGGTCTGAGCAATGCACAAGTCATAAATAGTGAATCGTCGAAAAAGTCATAACACATTTTTGCATAGAAAAACAGAAACCCTCAAGGGGGGATGGCCACACCACAGTCCCTTCTCTATTCTCCTCTTGGAATTTTGGGCACACATGCACCTGATGTTTTAAGTTACCATGTCTGGGACTTGAACTGTGGTCGACTATGTGGGAGTCCAGCGACATAACCATTTCACCATCTGCTGGTCCCTGCAGTAGGCTCTCTTTTAGAAACAACTTTACTGGGACCAGCAGTTAACTTAATGGCTATGTCACTGAACTCCCATGTAGCCGACCGCAGTTTGAGTCCCAGACCTGGTGGCTTAAACTCACGCTGGGTGCATGTGCGTTGCGTGCCCAAGATCCCAAGAGGAGAATGGAGGAGAAGGGATTGCGGTGTGGCCATCCCCCTTGGGGGTGATTTTTTGCTTTCTATCTATCTGTCTTTTTGGCGAGCACATGCACCCTATAACCCTATAGCAAAAAACCTCTCATAAAAAATTATTAACATATAATTCACATTCCATATACATTTACTCATTTAATGTGTACAATTCTATGGTTTTTAGTATAGCCGTAGATACTTGTAATCATCACCACAGATAATTGTATTTTACTGATCTCAAAAAGAAACCCTATTGGGAACCAGCAGTTAGCGTAATGGCTATGTCGCTGGACTCCCATGTAGTCGACCGCGGTTCGCGTCCCGGACCCGGTGGCTTAAAACTCACGCCGGGCGCGTGTGCATGCGTGCCCATGATCCCGAGAGGAGAATGGAGGAGAAGGGATTGCGGCGTGACCATCCCCCCTGGGGGGTGATTTCTCGCTTTCTGTCTCTATGTCTCTCTCTGTCTGGCGAGTGCACACGCCCTATAGCGAAAAATCTCTCTCAAAAAAAAAAAAAAAAAAAAGAAACCCTATTATGTTTTAGTTACAACCCCCCAACCCCTCATTCCTCCTGCCATAAGCAACCACTAATGTATTTTGTACCCACAAAGATTTGGCTATTTTAGAAATGTCACATGAAAGGAATCATATGCAAGTTTTTGTGACTGGCTTCTTTCACTTAGCATATTTTCATAGTCCATCTATGTTGTAGTATTTTATTTTTATGTATCAGTACTTTTTTAATAGCCAAATAATATCCCACTGTATGGATATAGTAATGATTTGTTTATCCATTCACTGGATGACGTACAGAGGGATTGTTTCTATCTTTAGGCAATTATATGTGTGTGAAAGTTTTCATGTGGATCTGCTTTTATTTCTTTTGGGTATATACCTAGGAGTAGAATCACTAGGTCATAAGGTACTCTGTTAACCATGTGGGAAACTGCCAGAATATCTGTGAATAAATATCTGTGTGCAAATTTTTATGTGGATCTATGTTTTATTTCTTTTGGGTAGGAGTAGAATCTAGGAGTAGAATCACTAGGTCATAAGGTAAATCTATGTTAATCATGTAGAAAACTGCCAGAATGTTTTCCAAAGAGACTGTAGCATTTTATATTTCCAATAGCAGTGTAAGGGTTCCAACAGCTCCACATCTTTTTAACGCTTGTTATATGATTCACTGATTTTAGCCATCATAATGTATGTGAAGTGACATATTATTATAACTTTGATTTGCATTTTTCTGATAGTGATGTTAAATATGTTTCTATTTGCATGCTGGCTGTTGTATATATTTTTCAGAGAATTATCTATACAGATCATTTGCCTGTTTTAAAATTGGATTGTCTTGGGGACCAGCAGTTAGTGTAATGGCTATGTCGCTGGACTCCCACGTAGTTGACTGCGGTTTGCGTCCCGGACCCGGTGGCTTAAACCTCACACCGGGCATGTGCGCGTGTGTGCCCAAGATCCTGAGAGGAGAATGGAGAAGGGGTTGTGGCATGGCCATCCCCTCTGGGGGGGGGGGATTTTTCGCTTTCTGTCTCTCTGTCTGTCTGGTAAGCGCACGCAGCCTATAGCAAAAACCTCTCAAAAAAAAAATATTGGATTGTCTTTTTATAATATAGTTGTGAGAGTTCTTTATACATGTTGGTAACAAGATTCTTATTAGATATGTGCAAATATTTTTTCCCATTCTGTAAGTTGTCTTTTCATTATTTTCCTTTTTTTTTTTTTTTTTGAGAGGTTTTCGCTATAGGGCGTGTGCACTTGCCAGACAGAGAGAGACATAGAGACAGAAAGTGAGAAATCACCCCCCAGAGGGGATGGTCACGCCACAATCCCTTCTCCTCCATTCTCCTCTCGGGATCTTGGGCACGCATGCACATGCGCCCGGCGTGAATTCTAAGCCACCGAGTCCGGGATGCGAACTGCAGTTGACTATGTGGGAATCCAGCGACATAGCCATTACGCTAACTGCTGGTTCCCAATTTTCTTTCTTGAAAATGTCTTGAAACATGCAAGTTTTTTTTTTTTTCTTGTTTACTTGCCAGAGGGTGTGTGTAGTCATCAGAGACAGAAAGATAGGTGAGAGAAGGAAGCATTCCTCATCAATCCCTCCATGAGACATGGTCATTGCACAATCCTTTCTCAATTTCTCCACCCTGTTAGGTTTTGGGGTACTCATACACATGTGCCCACTGGGGCTGGGATTTGAACTGCAGCCATATGGAGTCTGGCTCTCTTAACTAGCAGGCTACATGGCCAGCTTAAAGCACAAAAGCTTTTACTTTTCATTAAGTCTTTTTTTTTTAATTATTGTTTCTTATTTAAATTTATTTATTTATTTATTTAAATTTGACCAGAGAAAGTGAGCAAGAAAGCAAGTCACCAGGTCTGGGACTCAAATCATAGTCAGCCATGTGGGAGTCCATCTCTCTTAAACACCATCCCACCTGCTGGCTCCAGTGAAGTCTTATTTGTCTATTTTTCTTTGTTTCTCATGCTTTTAGTATCAAATAAAACTAAGAATCCATCACCAAGTTCAAGGTCATGAAGCTTTTCTTACCTATACAACTTTTATGGTTTTAGCTCTTACGTTTAGTTCTTTGATGCATTTTTAGTTCATTTAAAAACATTATATAATGTGAAATAAGGTCTGTTGTGGGTTAAAGGGCATCTTTTAAAAAGGTATAGATGGGGCCAGCAGGTGACATGGTGGCTAAGGTGCTGGGTTCTCACATAGACAACCGTGGTTTGAGTACTAAGCTTGGCAGGTTGAAATTCACAATAAATAAATAAATAATTAATTAATTTAAAAAAATAAATAAAAAGGGTATCTTCTAGTTTTAATCCATGGTACCTGTGAATGTGACTTTATTGGGAATGAGTACTTTGCAGATATAAAGATATTATGGATCTCAAGATGAAATAGATCATTCTGGATTTAGGTGGGCCCTAAAGCCAATGACTGGTGTCCTTATAAAAGAAAAGAATAAGAGAACCAGCAGTTGGCATAATGGCTATGTCACTGGACTCCCATGTAGTCAACTGTGGTTCAAGTCCCAGACCTGGTGGCTTAAACTCACGCCGGGTGCATGTGTGTGCGTACCCAAGATCCCAAGAGGGGAATGGAGGAGAAGGAATTGCGGCATGGCCATCCCCCCTGGGAGGGGGGTGATTTCTTGTTTTCTGTCTCTCTGTCTCTCTGTCTCTCTGGTGAGCACACCCGCCTTACAGCAAAAATCTCTTCAAGAAAAAAAATAAAGAATAGGAGAATTAACACATGAAGCTATAGGAAAGAAGACCATGTGAAAATGGAGACAGAGATTAGAGTTTTGATGTCACAAGCTAAAGAATGCTAAGAGTTACAAGAAGTTGGAAATAGCAAGAAAAGATATTCCCCTAGAGCCATCAGAGGGAGCACTGCCATATTGGCATCTTGATTTCTGATTTCTAATTTTCAAAACTGTGAGAGAATACATTCTTTGTTTTTTTGGTTTTTTTTTTTTTCTTTTTTTAAGTCATCCAGTTTGTGGTAATAATTGGTTGTAGCAGCCCTGGAAAACTAACAGTATGATTCCAACATTATTCTTCTGAATGTGGCTATCAAATTGTCCCAGCACCATTTGCTGAAAAGAACATTCTTTCTCTATTGACTGTTCTTGGCATCTTTGTTGAAAATCAGTTGAACAAATACCCATGGGTTTATTTCTAGATTCTCAATTCAATTCCATTGATGTATGTCTATCTTTTTATTGATTTGTTTAAAAAACTTTACCAGGGGGCACATGCAATTGTGTGTGTGTTTGAGAGAGAGAGAAAGAGAGAGAGAAGACAGAGAAAGTGAGAAAGTCCCCCCCCACACACACACACTCTCTCTATGGGAACTGGTTACATACAATCCCTTCCCCATTTCTCTCTTCTTTTGAGGCTTTAGGCATGCATGCATGCACACCTAGGGTGTTCTTCAAGTTGCTGGGTCTGGGATTCAGACTGTTTAGTTGGTCATGTAGGATCCAGCTGCTTTAACCACAACATCCTGGGCTGGCCCTTTATGTCTACCTTTATGCCAGTAACATACTGTATTGATTACTATTGCTTTGTGAGTTTTGAAAGTATGAGTAAACCAATTTTCTTCCTGATGATTAATGTAGTCTTCTAAAACTCCACAGGAATTTTAGAAAAGCAGCTTGCCAATTTCCATAAACAAAACAAAACAGAACAAAACAAAAAAACAGTTGTGAATCTGTGAGGGATTGTGTTGAATCAATGGATCAAATTAGGGAACAAAGCCATCTTAACAATATTGTCCTGATCCTTGAACATGGGACACTTTCCTATTTAATTATACCTCTAATTTACTCTTTAAACAATGTTTTATAGATTTCAGAGTAAAAGTCTTATACTTCTTTTGTCAAAAGCATTTGTATTTTATTGCTTTTGATGCAATTTTAAGTGAAATGATCATAATTTCATTTTTAGTTTGTTCATTAGTGTACAAAAACACAACATATTTTTGTATGTTGATTTTATATTCTTAAAACATCCTGAACTTGTTTATTGGACAATAGTTGTTCAGTGGATTCCTGATATTTTTCAATACACACGATCATGATATCTGTGGACAGAGATGGTTTTACTACTTCTTTTCTAATCTGAATGCCTTTTATTTCTTTTTCTTCCATAGTTACTATGGTGTCTTAGTGCAGGCTGGTATAACAAGACATTTTTTTCCCACAGTTCTGAAAGCTGGGAAATTTGAGGTCAGGATGCCAGTACAGTCAGCTTCTAGTGTGGGCTCTCTTCCTGGATCACACTGTCCTCACATGGCAGAGAGAGCAGCAGCTCTGGTGTCTCTTCCTCTTCTTAGAAAGGCACTAATCCTGACATTCCATGTCTCCAGCCTCCACTGTTTATGACAGTAAATCAGCTGTTAATCTTACTAGAGTTTCCTTACAATGTACAAGTTGTTTTTTCTTGGTGCTTTCAAGACGATCTCCTGGTTTTTGGCTTTCAGCACTTTTAAAAATAACGTGTGAGCTTGTGGATCTCTTTCTGTTTATCCTACATGAAATTCACTGAGCTTCCTGAATGTGTAGATTAATGTTTTCCAATAAATTTGGCAAGCGTCAGCCATTAGCACTTTTAATGATCTTGTTCTTTCTCCTTTTTCTTTCAGGTACTCATTACATACATGTTGGTGCAGTTAATGGTGTCTCACATTTCTCGGAGATACTCTTCCTTTTTATTCATTCCTTTTTCCTTTTTTTTTTTTGAGAGGTTTTTACTATAGGGTGCATGTGCTTGCCAGAAAGAGAGAGAGACAGAGACAGAAAGCAAGAAATCATCCCCCAGTGGGGATGGCCACACCACAATCCCTTCTCCATTCTCCTCTCGGGATCTTGGGAATGCACGCACACGCATCCGGTGTGCATTTAAGCCACCAAGTCTGGGACTCGAACCGCTGTTGACCACATGGGAGTCCAGCGACACAGCCAACTGCTGGTCCCCTTTTCTCTCTTTGGACTGCAAAACTTCTATTGATTTAGTCTTCAAGTTCAGTGATTCTTTTTTCTGCCTCTTCAAATTCACAGTTGAGGCCCTCTAGTCAATTTTCCATTTGGTTCTTTTTAAATAATGTCTATCTCTATTGACATTCTCTACTTGAAGTGTGATTGTCATCTTAGCTCCCTTAATTTCTTTAATCATGGTCTCCTTTGATCTTTGAATGTGTTGGTAATGGCTACTTTGAAACCTTTGCTAAATCTGACATCTGGTTGCTCTCACAGGCAATTTCTGTTTGCTCTCTCCCTGGTGTATAGAATAGACTTACCTATTTTTTTGCATCTTGTAATTTTTTTGTTGGAAACTATACATTTTAGATATCACTGTAGAAATGCTGGGTACTGGTCATACTCACTCTCCACTCCCAGGGCTTGGTATTGTTATATGTTTGTTTGTTTGGTAAGTAGTTGGATTACCTGCTCCCCATTCCCTCACTACCTCTGCTTATTTCGAAGACTCAGATATTGCCTCTCAGGGAATGAAGACTTGTGAATGCCTAGTTACCTGGAGATGGCAGTGGTTTTGACAGGGTTATTTTTGTCTGTTAAGTGTTCACATCTAGCTATTATGCTCCTCTGATTGACAGCCGCTAGTTGCTCTATATTTTAAAAAATAACCTGGAAGGTAAACTGCACCATAGACTGAGCCAGTTCAACCTGGGCTCTTTCAAGGGAATAGCCTTTTGATGTCAGAATCTAAGATTTGTTCTGATCCCAAGAGGGCTCTCTGTTCCTTCTTTCTCTGGTTTTCTCTGTTAATCTAGTCAGGTTACAATTTAGCTTGTATCTCTAACAAATTTACCAATCTCTTCACAATTACTTTTTGCCACAACCTCTATTGTTCGTGAGAAAATCTTAGGTTTTGAGGTGTCCACACCCTTTTGCAAACAAACCAGTTCCTTTGGGAAGACATTTGAAGTGTTTTGTGCATTTGTTTTATTTTGTTTTGATGACCTGCTTCTGACACTGGGCAAAATATCTAATACAGAGTTCCAGATCTGGGGGTGGTAAAATGGCATGCTTCTCTCTGAGTGAAAGAGAGAAAAGACAAACTGCTTGAAGAGACAAACACTTGGTGGAAGGGTAGCAGAGTCCTCAGGTCTTTTCGGCTTGCTTCTCCCAGCATAGAATGAGTAGGCAAGGGTGATCATGGACAAATATTCTCAGTGGCACCATAGCTAAGATAAAGCCTCTATTCTATGAGTGGGGTTGGCCAGAAGGAAATTCCCACCTCTCAGATACACATGCCTGGAATCTAGCCTCAACAACAGGAAGCTGGGAACAGTATGAGAAATACTAAACTCCTTCCTGCCATTCCTAGGAAAACAGCCCTCCAACTGTGAGTGGAGGGGAGACAGCTGTGTTCTCTTGTCAGAATGGAGTTTCCATCTTGTTAAAGTAGGAGAGGGTGGGTCTTGGTTCAAATACCACAGTTTCTTGCTGTTCTTACTGGGTTTTAGTAGACTTTCTTTTCTTTCTTAAAAGTTTATTTCTTGAGAGAAAGAAAAACAGAAAGATAGATACCATTGACAGGGTCTTGTGCCACATCCTCCTCTCCCTCCTCAGCCTCTGAGCTGGCCAGGATCAAAGGCATACATGCACACACCCAGCAAGTTCAGGTCAACCAAGGATCTGAGCCTGGGCCTCCCACATGGCTCCAGCAATGTCTGTGCCACTGTGGCTGAGCACAGTAGATTTTCTTAAATAAAGGTTTCCTCATTTGCTGTATGCTCTTAGAATAATTTTTAAGACTTCAAATTATTAATTTTTTTTTAGTAATTTGTATCAGTTTTGTTGGGGAATGCATTTCTAACACTTCTTACATTGTAGTGCCAGATAGACATGGAACCCACAATAGGCTCATAACATTACACTTTTTATATTGTGGACACTCAATGACATTTTACATACAATAAGGACAAGTACTAAATCTTTAAAGATGCACCCCATACTTGGAGCCTCTGAATTTTCACAGGTTAAGTTTGCTTCAAATAGTTGTCAGCAGAAGAAGTACTTTACCATTTATAAATTAATCTCTCTTATAGGGGGTCAAATCCAAAGTGATAACTCATACATTTGAACTGGGTAGAGGAATATAATTGATTTAGTCAAATGTGCTACAGCAAATTACATGTACTTGACTATTTTATAGGTCAGTTATTGCACAATGACTACACAACACTTTTAACTGGCTTCTACTCAGCTGGCAAAAGCAGCTGAGCCATTATAGGTTTAGACTATCTTGTCCATAAAGTTATAGTGACCAAAGCCTTGAAAGTGTAATGATCATATCAACAGTTAGAATGCCATATAATCTATCACTTAGGTTTAAATACTTTATAACTGATGTCCATTCTCTAAGATTAATATATAACAATGGTGAAAGACACTTTCAACCTTACCATATTTGTGTCATATCCCAGAGAAAACAAGTATGGCTTTTCTTGCAAAATTGCCTCCTTCCACTTTTCATCAGATACCAAACCAATATACCAGTCACTTTCATATTCTTCAAGAAAATTAGTCAGCTCTTTAAAATCCTCTATTGGACCTAAACTTGCTTTATCAATCATTAATTTCAAAGTGTACCTAGAGAAATGGAGAACCAAACAATTTTAGAATGTTTTATCAGCTTTATGGATGAGACATATTTTTTTTTTTTTTATTAGAAACTTTTTTTTTTCTCATCACAACACACATATGAATTTTCCATCCAAAATACACTGTGCATTGGCTCAATCAAGCACATCAACATATATGTTCTCAGCAAATGATTTCCCACTTTTTGTGTCCTGCATACCTTGCCTTTTGTTTTGCCATCCTAGGTTCCCCATCCCCACCCTCTGCCATGTCCCATCTTCCTCCTCCATTGTCCCTGACATTCATGATTGCCCTCAATGGCTTCCGCCCCCCCC